GGACAAAACCCTTAACATGCACCTATCTCTGCGTGTGTGTTTATGTAGTTCATACCTGCTCGTACACAGCACTTGTATTCCTGCAATCTGTACGCGCTGAAGAACACAAGCTGTGATTTAAAGCTGTTATTTTCTTCTGCAGCTCTGGTGGGTCACCACAGTCTCATCTTACCTCGTCATGTGCGGTGCCTTTTTTTTTCAGCATCCTTTGGGACCTAGTCACAGGAGATTTTATGGGTTTGCGCAATTTCTGCTGTCGCTGAAACAGTGGAACTCACGATTGCAACTTAATCTGAAAGAATTTAATTGGACCAGATAGAAACAGTGTCGTATTCCACTTTTTGTTCTTGTTTTTTTTTTTGTTGTTGTTGTTGTAACAGCTAAAACAAACTGACTCCAAACCAAAAACAGTCTTTCCTTTCCTTTTTATGATTGCAGAATGAATTGATATTAAATGAATTTGGCAAACTGAGACAAGGGTCTTGCTGATGGGCATCAGGTTTTTGAGGACAGCGGCTCGTCCATGCATTAAGTGGTGCAGGGGTGTAACCTGATAAATGCACTTTAAACAGTGAAGATGGACAATGAGAGGGTGAAATCTCAGATGGCCTGATTTGTGTGCCTGCTAGGCACTTTGACAGCCTATTGATCAGTTCTGGGCAGGGTCAGAGGTGTGGGGATGCATGGCTCGGATACTGCTAGTGGGACAGGTACAGCACAGCAGTAACCAAGATCTATTAGGAAATAGATCTACTCCTGAGCCCATTACATCGTCCTTTTGTTAAAGACCAGACATGTTGTTGACTGCTGGCATTCAGTTTCCTCTGCCAAGATGGGTGAATTTTCTTCTCCAATATAATACACAACAACAATACAGCGATCTGTCTGCCTTTTGAAATTGATGTGACGTAACGTTTCTGTCTGAGACATTGATAGCTCCATGGTTGTGAAAATGCCCCGCTCCTGTTATTGAATAGTAATAGGCTTGTCGGCCGGTGCCTCCAATTTCACAAATGGAGCAATAAATACACATAACAGAATCAGTGGAACAATAAGAATGTCTATAAAGAATGTTTGTGCCTCAAAAAAATAAAAAAAATAAAAAAACAAGGAGCAGAGGGTGGGGTAGGGGTGGGACGGGASGCAGACGTGGGGAGGTCAAAGCAGAATTTGACAAAAGAAAGGGATGAAAAGTGTGAGAGAAGCAGAGGCAGAAAGATGGTGGCCCACTCTTCATTTCTGTGCCACAAGCTCTCCTGGGCATTTACGTGCTCCGTTTTCAACCTAAGTGTAATTTGAGGCCTTGGTTGATACAAAGTGTATGCAGCAGCTCTGTTCAAACCCAATCATTCACCCTGACGTGTAATCCTTTCCCTCGCCATCATCACGTTGCTTCGGGAATAATGAAAAACACTTAAGCAATGCACAGCAGTCATACAGCTGTGAGCGGGGTGCCGCATCTTGATGAGATGTCCCGTAACTCTAATGAAAGGTGTTTTGACCTGCCAATGGAGGTGAATGATTGCCTCGCTACTGTATCTGTGAGAAACTTATTGATGCCTGTATCTGGTCCAGCTGTGCGATTTGCTTGAGAGACGAGGAGCCTTTAAAAACAGTGCTTGGCACCGACGAGTGCTAGATCTCATTCTATCCTGCCGTCCTCTGCTCATCGCCACGGTTTTTTTTTTGTCTTATGATGCCGTTGTTTCAACATAGAGGATTATTACAATTAATTGGTTGGCAAGACATTATTTCAAAAAGGGAAATTGGCTTTCATAATTATATAGAGAAGGGAATACTTTAACTCCCTGGAATATCAGCTTTCTGAAATAATGGAGCTGTGCCACCACCACCCCCTTTTCCCATTTCCCCCACCGCCATCAGTGTTAGCGTGTCTGTCTGCCTGTTTCCTGTGACGGATCCATTTTCAACAGTCCCTGGCCCTGCAGCGGCTGTGGTTGATTGCTGGATGGTTGGGCAGCCTGGGTGAATCTCTCACCGACTTGCCTCGCTCACAGCCAACCAATCTCTGGTCTTCTGGGATCCCCGKATCTGCTCTTTGTCCCATCTGACCTCTGCACTCTGTGAATGTTTGGCCGTATCAGAATTGGTATCTATACCACAGTCCAAGATCAGGTTAAGAGTTGTCGCACCAGATTAATAACTAAGCAGAAATGCCGTACTGGTGGAACTGTTAACACAACAAAGAGCAAATAGGTGAATCATCAGCATGCAGATGTTTCTGAAAGAGGTTATGGTTTTAACTTGCAATTTTGTCAAAACTGATTCATACAGACTTTCAGTCAAAACACAAATGAATCACAGAGTTCAGTGAGTATTTAATTCATTGATTCCTTTACCCTTTTGAAAATAAAAACAGAAGTTACACAGATATTGGTGATTCAACAATCAGAGATATCAATGTACACCATTGCCAAATGATATATTTCACACAATAAATACTTGTAGCACAGGAGCAGGAACTCCGTTACCTGTCCCTGTCTGCAATTTGTCATCAAGGGACCAATTCTGACACACTGATGCTCCGTACAAACAGTAACCAAAACGGGGATTGCATCCTCTGATGGTGAACGTGGAGCATGCTTTTACCTTCACAGTCTGTTGTGGGTGAGCAGGAAGAGAAGATCCATAACTACCATTACAAATGTTTTGACAAGCGCAATGAGGGGTAGAAACCTTTTTTTTCCCCCTTCTAAATATATATATAAAAACAGTGGCGGCTCAGGTATGTCAAAGATGTGAGAATATTACAGAGCAGAAAGTTGAATCAGACAAAGATTGACATTATAATAATGAGGTAGTAGTCAGCAGGGTGCTGCGTACTTCGTTTTCTAATGGTGCCGATATATTTACAGTACACCCATGGACACAATTTGTAATGTAAGACATGTCTTTTTACTTATTACAGAACAATAATGGAGGGCAAAATGAAAAACAGTTAACATGTGTAAAAATGTCGCTATTTTAAAATGTGTACTGCGATTTCTAAATGAAACTCGACCAAATCAAACAATGCCGAGTCTCATTGACAGAACAGATTGGTTTGGTTATATTTAGGTGTCATAAGTATTTGCTTATTTCTCCCAAATAAAGGTAAATGATGTTATGTTAAAAGCATGCCTGCAGCTTGACTTTAGTCAGAATTGGTCCCTGCTGTATTGCACAACAGTCAAATAAGTTAGTTTTACCCTCAACAGTGGAGCATGTTAATTGGACAGTGGCTAGTTGAAGTTTGGGGACGGACAGAAGATGATCGTCATCCTCCGTTTGCGGCCAATCAGGCAGACGAACAGAAAGGCATGCGGGCTGCTTTTGATATCACAAGCATGGCTGCAACTCTAACTAATGCAATGCCCTTTCATCAGTTTGACATTATTGTGACGAAGCCACAGTTTGTCGCGTCACATAAAATTCAAGAGTAGTTTTAAGCAACCCCCTTCAACACGTTCTCTTTAACGTGGAGCGCGGTGGACGGCATGCTTCACGTAACGAACCTGTAGCTAAACACGGTGGAGCGCGGGGAGAGATCTTTTACCCACCGGAGATCACGCCTTGTAAAAACACACTGTCAAGGTTGCGGTTTCCCTTTGAGGCTTGCTGTCGCTTTGTTTCTTGCATAGCTGTTCACTTGTGCATGATTGGGTGCTCTGAGTTCTCGCCGCAGACGCCTGCTTTGCCTCCTGACCAGCGGGGAGGGTGTTACTCTGCGCCGGCCACCGTGTCAACATGAGGTCAAGAGGTGTTGTTCCACGAGTCTACTGTACACACGGCGCGAGGCTGTGCAGAAAACAGCCTCCCGCTGCGTAAAAAATAAACCCACCGTGAAGTGCCACTACTTGTTTTGCACCTGCTATTTACCTCCGTTTGGTTGAAGCYCTATAAAAGCAGGCACAGCTATTAAAAGATGCGAGGTGTCTAAAATGGTGAGAGCAGATGCCAGACACCTTGCTCCCTGTGTGTTGGATGACTCAACCTCAGGCTTAAAGTGGGGGGGTGGTCCAAAAATAGAGGCCGGCTGACACACGGGTCTCTGATTGAACACGGAATCTCATAGACCTCTGCCACTCGGCATAAATCCTTTGAAACTTCAAGACCAAATCTGCTGATTATCTTTCACCTAGGCTGAATCAGGTCATCTATTTGCATGTCGAGAGCCAATTTCCACAGGCTTAACCCACAGCCAAATCTGGGGTTTAGTGTGTGAGAACCACCATTGCAGACCTCTGCAGTAGARGAGAACTATGAGTGTGTGTTCCACCGATGTGACTGAGTTGGTCTTTAAGCAACAGCAGCATTAAAAAGCACATGGATGATAGGAAATTAGCCTGACTTTCCAACAGCTTTCTTTATTGCTGAGTTACTACATAAGACGATTGACTTTTTTTTTTTTTACCTGTCTATGCTAGATTGGTTAAACGTGTGACCAGCAAGTCTTCCAGTCTGAGACAAATACACAAAAAAAATAAAATAAAAATAAAAATCACACTGTTCTGGAGAGGTATATCCAAATACATTTAAACTGATAAAAGAGTTCACATTTAGGTAACGATTTTCCTCGTTTCAGCTCTTTTTTCCTTTCTTTTTTCTTCTTTTTTTTTGCAAGAGGAGAACAAGAAAAAATGGCCACCAGGTTTTTCCAGACATTGAACTGTACACGCAACCTTCCAAATAATAAATATTTACATGTCCTAGTTGAGTTCAGGCAACAAAAAAAAAAAAAAAAACACGTGAGCATTGAGTCTGTGTAAGTTTCTTGACACCTTTTCTTCTGCTTCAACGGTATTTTAGGAACTTTTAGCTTTCTGGAAAAACAAATATTCTGCTATCAAGATGTATTTATTTTGGAGAGGAGCAGAAGGGTCCTTCATACAAAGCATGACCACTGACGATTACCAAAAAAAAAAAAAAAATTACTGTACATATCATTTCTTATATATTTTAAATTAATCTGAATCATTTTAATATTTATACTAATAACCAAGTTTTCCACTTGTTTTTTAATTTATTATTCTGTCCCAGGATTCCAAGAAGAGGAGGAGAAATGCCAGCCTCTGTCTTGCACTCCTAATGTGTGTCTCCTCCTCCTGAGAACCTTCAGCCTTGGTTCAAGTCCCTCTCCCTGTAACGTAGCCGTGGTCGATCAGCTCCTCCATCAGACCTTGGCCTCCAGCATCTCCAGGAACAGTTTGTGCATGGGCACCTTGCCCTGCACCTTGATGCTGTAAAAGTGCTGCACAGCCTTAGTGGCTGTCTGCCTCAGCAGGGGCAGCGTCATGAGCAGTTTGCCAGCCCGTCGCGGGTCCTCCTGATGCTGGCTGCTCTCGTAGTCCTGCAGGGCCTCGTGGAGAGCATCCTGCAACTTCTGGACCGCCTCCATGTCCTCTATGTGCATGGAGTCTGCCAAGACAAGAGAGAGGAAAGAAGCATGATGGATTTTCCTAATAAAAAATAATGAAAGAACTTGAAATAAATTTAGTTAGCACTTATCTGCAGTGGTAATATAACAGTAGACACAGGGAAATGGATTTCCCAACTACAAAATTTAATCTTGTGATCTTTTTTTTTCTTTTTGCTCCTGTCAGTAGCTGCGCAAAAAAATATCAGCATAACTCACATCCTGAAAAGATAAAAATAATAAAAAGAAAAAAAAGAAGGAACATATTCCTTATTTAGTGGAGTTTTTAGATGGTTTTTGACCTGTGGGACTGAAAAATCAATGTTTTTTTTTTGTAAACAATGCAATGAATTTCACCAAATCTCTGCTGTTAATGTTCATGTTTAACGCTGAACTGTTCCAAAGGACAGAATTATGTTAAAAAATAGCAGCTGCATTAGAGGAACTGGACAACACAATAACACACGAGGTGATTTTTTTCCTCCTTCTGATTTAAAAAGTTTTTTCTGTGTGTTTTCTGTACTGTAAAAACAAAATCTGATTCAAATGTAACTGAAATCTTTCACAACCTTGAGTTATTTTAAARCAGTCTTCAGTTTTAGTCCAGCTTTCCTCTGATCAGTCCTACTGTAACAACATCATAAACAACAGTTTTTCTTTTTTCTGTTCCAGCTGCACATGGTACCAGTTGGTGTACGGAAAAAAAAAAGCTCACGTTTTGTGAGCTTCCACACCTTATTTTTAATTTTATTTTTACTAAGATTATTTATTTGAGCAAGGTTGAGTGTTTTTAATTTTATACAATATGCTTACATTTGTAATGTGATATATGTACTTTATTATATAAATTTTATTCACTTTTACTGATGCAATGTGTGGCTACTAACAATTGTATTTGTGAGGTTTGGTCTTTTTTTTAATTAAAGGTGTGAGTTTTCRTTTTGTGAGTTTATGTCAGGGACTCGGTGTCTCCTTCGCCTTTTTTTTTTCGGCCCCTGCTTTAGTCTCCCAGCTCCTCTCAGGGACAGTCCTGGGTGGCACGTTCCCTCACTGGTTGACTGGCATCTTGCACTCGGGAGACAACGTGTCATTGGCCGCCTGACTCGTCTCACCTTGGCAGTGCATATTTCACCACGTGGGACAATAAAAGGCAAAACAGATTTCAGGCTTCGCCCCAAATTCATTGACTGGAACAACTGTATTCCCAGGACCTTGAGACATTTCTCACCCTGACGCTTTTCAAATCCGCTGTGGTAAAATGAAGTAGGTCGTTTTGTAAAGTGAATGTGGGAAGTGTGTGTGTGTGTGTGTGGGGGGGGGGGGGGTCGACGGAGGGAGGAACAAAAGCCAAAATAAGAAAAAAAGGGAGAAAAAGAAGTCACAGATGAGGATGTAGAGTGACATAATTATCTCTTGTTCTTTTCACGGAGGCTGCGTTCGCATCCCAACCAGTTCTTAAAATCAAATCAACGTTTTGTTCTATTTTTCACACTTTCACACAGACGCAGTTTTGTGACGGAGCAGATCCAAACCGCGCTTTAATGGAATGTTTTACTGCAAAGAGGGGAGAGAGAGAAAATAAAAAGAGCGATGGAGACATCTCAACAGATGGGAATGAAGAAAGGGCAGCACACGCACTGCTTCCTTCAGGGGAGGAGGGGTAGACTTTAAAAAAACAACTTTGAAGAAACAATTTCCTCGCAATCCATCAGTGAGCTCACGTCGATCGAATTGATAAACTGCTAATTACAAAATCAATMGCTATGAATTTTCACAGCTGTCAGACAGAGGGGCTCCCGGGAGAGTGATCTCCCAGAGACCTTGTTCTAACATTTCGGACACCCTCCTCCTCCTCCTTGATCTCCAGCTCTGCTCACTACCCCCCACCATACCTGCCTTCCAAAAGCTCTGCTGTCTGAAAGCAAAGTCCTTACATCAGCATTTTCATTTTTCAGCGGCGGACAGAACAAGGGAAAGAGGCCCGGTGACCCAGGCGTGCATTGATCAGAGCGGGACAGGTCCTGCCTCCTCAAAAGGCACCTTGTCAATAGCAACGTGCCGTCTCTGCACTGGAACAAACGAGGCCCATCACTCCTTGATATTCATTCCATTCGACTTAACACATTTTATTGACAGGCCCCGCGCTCCTAATGAAATGCTAAATTTACACTCACATGGCTGCTGTGCCCTGCAGCGACTGTTATGGAGATGGAGGAGGGAGCACAGGAGAAATACCACAACACAGAAGGTGTTCAATTAACAAAAAAAAAATACTCCTCCATCCCTCTTTTCTCATATGCTGGCCTTATTTTCTCTTCTTTGCTCCATTTCACTCGCAAAAGTAAAGGTTACACTGAAAACCCCTGAAAACACTCAGCAATAGTAAAACTGCTTTAAAAAATACAGTAAAAGTCTAAAACATAATATTTTATTTCAGCTAAAATTTTGCCTTGACAAAAACATGTTTTTAACAATCTTTTTATGTGGTTTATAACAAATGTTTGTTGCTTACATCAGGGGTTCTCAAACGCTTTAGGTCTGGGGACCCCTCACAAGAGTGAAAAATTTCCAAGGACCCCCTTATAAACCCCATGTGGTTTAAAAAATTATTTCATTTTTCATTTCATTTTAAACTCCTAAATGCCACACGAATATTATATTTTGTTTGGTTTAGTATGTTTGTTTTACTAGTGCATTGTTGCCCATATGGATTTTTTAAAAATAAAAATCAAATTAGCAATTTATTGAAAATCTTTGAGGACCCCCAAGATACGGCTCACGGACACCTGGGGGTCCTGGGACCCCAGTTTGAGAACTTTTCATTTTAAATTACATTTCTTTACTTTCATTTTACACTGGCATAATTTCGTTCTTTGATAAGGAAACAAAAAATAAGCTGAAATTAAATAGTATAGTTAAAAAATATATATTTTTTACTAAATTATTAAATTTGTTTATTACAAGTGATATTTCTAGAATTACACTTGATTTACACTCATTGTAATGTTTGTTAAATTAAATGATAATTAAGTGAACTTGCATTTTTTCCGAAAAATCTGAAAGTGTTTTTCCAGGCATTTCACATTTTTATACTTTATTAGGAATAACACAGCATTTACTTTTGTTTATTAGTTGTGTCGGTGTGCTGATGATATCCCACCTGAGTTGGCGAGAGCGATGGCTTTGAGGGTGACAAACTCCTCCTTCTCCACTTTGAGCTTCTTGTATTTGCGGACCAGCTGCAGGATGGAGACGTAGAGGTCGAGCAGGCCTGTCAGCCGCGAGTGCTCCTCGTCCATGATGTAGTCCTCCGCGTACACGAGCTCGTCTTCGTATGGCAGTGAGCGGAACACAATGCTGAGGATGAGGATTTCCATCCAGGCGCTCTGCAGTAGACTCATCTGGTCACCCAAGGACAGGGTAGAGAAACCTGGAGGAGGGGACAGAAAACTGTGTGAGAGTGGCACAAAGGTAAAAAAAATGCAAGATGAGAAATGATTTGAGAAAAGCTGAGTAAAAAAAAGAACAAACTAAAAACTGTGGTGGATATTAAATCAAAACTACATAGTTTTGGCTTTGATCAGTAAAACAAACATCATTCGTCAAGCCACAGTAGCTGAGAGCACACACTGAGGCACATGTGGTTAATTATAAATGCACAGCGGAAGGTCTTCTTTGAAGCTCACGTCGGAGCGCTCGAGTGGGCTTTACTGTAAGTGAGGACAGTAAATCAGTGCAAAGGTCTGGGATACACAAAGCCATGTGGTTACCCCCTTTGTATCCTGTCGCTCCGCTATTGGTGTTAGGGGGATTAGCGCCAAGACACATTCTCGTTGGAAGGGTTGAGGACATGACATATGCTGTGAAACAGAAGGAGGTGATGAGGGGGACGCAGACACAAACGTGTCAACCGAGAAAACAAACAGACACGTGCGCACATCAGGCCCATGACATCTATATGTATGCACATAAATCCATACACATAAAAAGTACACACACGGCACTGCTAGCGGGGTCACATGGTTCAAGCCCAGCCTGGAGACCTGCTTAAACCCAGAGTCTCATTCTGAAGCAGCTGGATGAGCTGAAATTGGYACGGGAACATCAAACCTCTGTCATTTCCTCTCCAACACCTCTACATATGCTCAGAATAGAAACTTAAATAAAACAAACTGCTATATCCCCTCCACAGATGAGCTGGGGGAAATTCAAACAGAATAAAAGAGAGTTAAGCCAAAAAGACAGAGGAAGAGAGAGCGAGGAGCAGACAGTCAGATAGCCATCTCATTCCTTTTTCTTTTTTCCTTTACCTTTTAGCTGTCAATAAACTGCACGAAGCCCCCCAAGCAGTCCCATTCCATCTCCCTCCTCCCTTTCTCCTGCACAGCATCCCTGCAGGCAGCTCATTCTGACAGCATATTAGACTCTTCAGCTCCGCCCCTGATTAATATGATTGCTTTTTACAAGTTTGCCCGTGCCACACGAGCTGCCATTGTGTGATTAAAAGGCGATAGATTGCAGTATTGACCAGGGCACTCACTGCACCCACATCAAACGTTTTCTCTTGAATATAAATGATCTTGCTAAGGTGCACCCACAAGCCCGATGTTTATCTCCTCCTGCCAGGACGCTGCGAGCGCACGCACACATTCATGCACACGTGCAGCTGGAGGAGAATACGAGACAAAAAGCAAGACGCGTAAGAGAAAGTGGGAAAGAAATGGGGGCAGAGGGAGAGGCAGGCAGAGGGAAAAGAGGAGCCAGGGAGAGAGGTACCTGAGTGTTCAATTTCCCTTATCGTGGTGATGACCACGGCAGGGGAAGAGCTGCAGGATACATTAATTAACAGATTGTGATCAGAAGTTGAGGGCCTTCACATTTTGAAGGGGAATCAATAGTAGGCAGAAAAGAGTGCTAAGTGAAAGGTGCTGGTGCCCAGGTAGACTGATCAGAGCCTAAATTAGACTCAGCAAAGCATACAGCCAAAAGCACTCAAAACACTTCACTATTATCAGTGCAGCCAATAAGCCATATTTTATAATGGCTTGTACACTTATCCAGGCAGAATCTTAAAAAGCTTTGTTGTGTTATTTCCTTGTCTGCATACGTAGCCATTATGTTGGACAGAATCCGGACTGGCCGGAGAGAAATTGCCATGCAAGCATGGACGTGGTGCTGATTGCCGCATCAGGTTGGCATCCCAATCACAGACAAGGCTTTGTGTAGCCTTTTAATGCCAAGGAGGACTGAAGCGGAACTAAAGCGCTGCTCCCAGTATGACAGCTCGCGTGAAGGCCTTGTTCAGGGCTTGCTGGAGTGGCTTTGGAGCTGCGCTGATACAACCGACACCTCTCAGCCATATGCAAACCTGCATCCCAGCAGCCTGCAATTACCTTTGACGCTAAAAGTCCTTGAATTTAATCCAGTGTTGTGAGATGGAGAGGTGGTGTTTTCCCCCCTGCTCCATCCACACTCTTCAAAGCCTAAATTATTGCTCCAAATGGGATCTTGTGTCGTTGCCTCGCCTTTTTCCACTCAATTTAATCGAGTAATGAAGTGACTTCCCGACTCCACAGGTCACGCGGCGCTCCGGCCGCCCGCACTCTGAAGGTGGCCCGGTTAAGTGCCGTCGGAGTGGGTGATTTCCCCTAATGAAATATCAATATTTACATCTTCATTTCCAGCCCAGTGCCTTGCTGGGGTTTGACCAAACATGACACAATATTGACCAAATCAGAGAAGCCTGTCTATGCACTTGAAAGGCCTTTTCCACTCCAATRCTGAGTGCATCTGAAATTCTCTGCAGTGAGAATGCAAAGATAACAGCATAGGCTTGATCAAAGAGATCATACATTAAARGGGCRATATCATGTAAAATCAACTTTTTTGAGTTTTACACCATGTTATAATGTTATACTCTCATAAAAAACATGCCCAGAGTCTTGCTTTGACTCATTCATGCATGTTTGAGAAATCCTGCAGCGTTTTTAGGCAGCCATGCTGAGGAGCAAAACGACAGGTGGGGACCAGAAACACCCCTGGGACGCGTCTTTAGGCTGAACTTCCTCAAGGCAGATTGCACCCGCACCCCGCCTCCTTCCCCACACATCCTGCCCATGACTCCTGCATGCTCTCGGTGAAAGTGAAACCTAACTGTCTGCTGAGCTCTCAACATTAGTTCTCTCTCAGTGAAGCTCTTTTCAGATTAAAAATACCTTTGAGGAAAAGTATTTTCAGATGCCAAGTAAACTGCATCATAGCGCATGCGC